TCTTTACTTTTGGGCACCATAAGATGTTCCAATCTCCTCTTGTATTTCTTTTGCCCCAGCCCTGGCATTAGCCATTTCTCCAATGATCCCTGGATCCTTTTGGTGGAGAATAGTGTTTAGAAACCAAGATCTAGGTGCTATGCGTGCTTAGCTTCTGGGTTGTCATTCCTTCTAGGTCCTTCCAATAGAGCTAAAAAATAAATGTATGTGTAGCTACATGTGTGTGTATCTGTACTTACTTCTATATCTCCCCATAAAGATTTGTGTGTTTATCATTGACTGTCTATGGTTTTCCAGATACATTATCATATCATATACAAATAAAGAAAGAGTTATTTCTTTGTTACCTATGCATTTAATTGACTTCTCTTGTCTAATTGCATTAGCTAATAATTCTAGAACAATGCTGAATAGTAGTGTAGATAGTGGACAGCCTTATCTGGTTCCTGATCTTAGTGGAAATGCCTCTAGTGTTTCTCCATTAAATATGATACTGGCTTTGTTTCTAACATAGAGAAGAGAAAATAGTTCTATTTTATCACCTTTAGAAGCATCCCACAATTCCTATTTTCTTGAGTGTTTTTATCATGAACAAGTTCTGAAACCCAACTGTTATTTTAAAAAGTGATAAATAAACTGAAGGAATCAAGCATTTATCCTTCCTTCTCTATATGAGATATATGTGAGCTTAAGCAAATATGAAGTTGGGAGGGTTTCTTTATAGAATTACTCCAGCTAATAAACAAAGAAGGAGTTATAAAATAAGAATATCAGCTTTTTGCAACCCCTAATGAAATGTGCAAAGATCTGGAGTTAGAAAAACAAAAGGGAAAAATACACTTGGTATTTTTCAAGCTGAAAGAACTGAAGAAAAAAAATCAAGCCTTGAGTTGCAATACTGAAAGATTCTATGGGCAAAATATTGAATGAGGCAGGAGACTTCAAAAGAAGATGGAAGGAATACAGAATCACTGTACCAAAAAGAATTGGTTGATGTTCTTCTATTTCAGGAGGTGATATATGATCAAGAACCAATGACATTGAAGGAAGAAGTCAAAGCTGCACTGAAGGAATTGGTGAAGAACAACTCCAGGAATTGATGGAATACCCATTAAGATGTTCCAACAAACAGATGCCATACTGGAGGCACTCATTCATCTGTGCCAAGAGATCTGGAAGATAGCTACCTGGCCAACTGACTGGAAGAGATCCATATTTATAACCATTCCAAAGACAGGTGATCCCATAAAATGTGGAAATTATCAAACAATATCATTAATATCATACACAAGTAAAATCTTGCTGAATATAATTCAAAAACAGTTGCAGCAGTATATTGACAGAGAACTTCCAGATATGCAAGCTGGATTCACAAGAGGACGTGGAACAAGGGATATCATGGCTGATGTCAGATGGATCTTGGCTAAAATCAAAGAATACCAGAAAGATGTTTACTTGTGTTTTATTGACTATGAGAAGGTATTTGACTGTGTGCATCATAACAAGTTGTGGATAACATTGAAAAGAATGGGAATTCCAGAACACTTAATTGTACTCATGAGGAATCTGTACATAGACCAGGAAGCTGTTGTTGGAACAGAACAAAGGGATACCACATGGTTTAAAATCAGGAAGGGAGTGTGTGAGAGTTGTATCTTTTCACCATACTTATTCAATGTGTATGCTGAGCAAATAATCTGAGAAACTAGGCTATATGAAGAAGAGTGTGGCATCAGGATTGGAGGAAGACTCAATAACAACCTGCGATATGCAGATGACACAACTTTGTTTGCTGAAAATGAAGATGACTTGAAGCACTTACTGATGAAGATTAAAGACTAAAGTCTGCAGTATGGATTACATCTCAACATAAAGAAAATGAAAATTCTTACAGCTGGACCAATAAGCAGCATCACTATAAATGGACAAAAGATTGAAGTTGTCAAAGGCTTCATATTACTTGGTTCCACAATCAACAACAATCCAAGCAGCAGTCAAGACATCAGACGACTTTATTGCCCTAGGCAAATCTGCTGCAAAAGATCTCTTTAAAGTGCTGAAGAGCAAAGATGTCTCTTTGAAGACAGAGGTGCACCTAACCCAACTCAAGGTGTTTTCAATCGCCTCATATGCATGTGAAAGCTGGACAATGAATAAGGAAGAGAGAAGAAGAGTTGATGTTTTTGAGTTGTGGTGTTGATGAAGAATACTGAAAGTACCATGGACTGCCAGAAGAACTAAAGAATCTGTCCTGGAAAAAGTGCAGCCAGAATGCTCCTTGGAAGTGAGAATGGCCAGACATCGTCTGACCTACTTTGGTCATGTTGTCAGAAGGGACCATTCCCTGGAGAAGGATCTCATGTTTGGCAAAGTGGAGGGTCAGTGAAAACAGGGAAGGCTCTCAAGGAAATGGATTGACACAGTGGCTGCAAGAATGGGCTTAAACACAGCAAGGATCATGAGGCTGGCACAGGACCAGGAAGTGTTTTTTTCTGTTCTACATAGGGTCACTATAAATAGGAGCCAACTTGACAGCACCTAACAACAACAACAATGAAATAATCAGTCTAATCAATGATTATTAATAGCTGCTAATTTCACAAAAAGAGAGAAACCAGACATTATATACCTTCTTATGGGAGTATGCAACACAGACATCTATGAGAAAAAAAATAAAATTTAATTTAAAAAATACACACACACACACACATATGTATATGTCCCTTGAATATGATCAAGCTTCTAGCTCTAACTGCCAATTTACAAGAGACAGAGGAAAACATCAAACACCACCACAGCAGTACATTCAGTAAAATATAGTCCTGGGAAACTCTAATGAACAAATGATCTGATTTCTTCAACAAAAAATTCAAGGGCAAAAAAAAAAGACAGAGTGAATGAGATGAAGGGAAAATCTATATATTAAAGAACTTTTAAGAACATATCAACTAATTGCAATGCAATTAAAATGGGCCTTATTTGGATCCCAGTTCAAATAAACAAGCTGTAATGAAAACATTTATAAGACAATTAAGGAAATAAGAATTCTGACTGGATGTTTAACTACATTAAGGAATTTTTTTTTTAGTTATGCTATTATTTTCGTTATTAAGTTAAAAATCTAAAAAGTCCTTATCTTTTTGAGAAACAAATGAAATATGTACAAGTAAAATGATATATGACTGGTATTATGTAGGGAGAGAAGATGGTATTTATGAAACAAGATTGGACATTTATTGGTTATTGTTATAGCTGATGATGTTTCGTTATTCTATCTTTGTAAATGTTTGAAATTGTCCATTCTGAATGTATTACATTTAACATTTAGACCAAATGAGATCATGCACGCACTCTGGGATGTTGCATAAAGAGTCAAGTGCATCTCGACCACAAGTAGTGTTCACCATTGTCAATCACTGAACTTTCAAGGGTTCATGGCCAGGGAGCTCCTGAGTCCCAAGGTAAAGGACAAATGATTAGCAAGGCGGCCTGTAGCCAACACCTCCTGCATCTCTCTCCACAAGCACAAAGAGCACCCAAGGTTGTAGCCAACACCTCCTGCATCTCTCTCCACAAGCACAAAGAGCACCCAAGGTCCCTGTACTGCAAGTGTCCCAGTGGCCCTGGAACAGAGAGCAAGGAGAAGGTCTTGACTAACATTTTTCCCAGAAGCTCAGCGAGTGATGAGAGCCCTGCCTTCCTTTCCATTCCTGAAAAGGACTCCTTCCTCCCACCAGGGGAAGCCCCAAACTCACATCATTCTCTGAGGTCCCACAGAGGATGCAGGATTTGCACTCTATGCACTGCCACTTGTAGGTCTTCACAGCCTCAGTCATGTTCAGGGTGAACTGCAGGCAGGTTGGGTGACCTGGAGGAAGCCAGAAAGGACAGCATTAGGACCAGAGGGTCTGACCTGTCACCCCTCAACAACACTAACCAAAAAACACATTTATGTGCAAATCAGGGAGTTGGTGCATGTCAGGAAACAAAGTGGGGGCCTCACCACCACTTCTTCCTCAATTACATCAGGTCAAGACCTAAGGAAAGAAAATGGGCATTGACCCTTTTACTAGGGATGGATGCCATCCAAATCCCTTTGCCCTCATAGCCATGTGTTGCCATAGGTGTAACCAAAGGATGAGGACAGAAAGTGTTGACCAGAGAGAAGCATAAGTAAGTGGCAGTGTGCACAGCATTAGGCGGCACTGTGAGAGACATCAGCACCACCTCCAGACCCCAGGATCAACTGTGGTATGAGCAACATGTAAGAGCTGTTTGGAGCTGGACCTTCTTATCCAAATTTTTTTTTTACATGGCCTTAAGGCATGGGGAAGAGGGACAGATGGGTCATGTAAGGTCCAGGGGAAGTGTCCAGGGGCAATATGAGGTAACTAAAATATCCATCCCATGCCATGAGACTAGTGAAAGTTCAAACTCTGGACAGTAACAAGGAGTACAGAAGAAAAATGTGAAGCTTGAGAGGATGAAGAAGTGGACTATCAAAAGGTACATGATGACCAGATGTATTTGAAAATCAGTCACTGGTCCTAACTCTTTCCTCCATCCCAGTGTCACGTTAGTTAGTAAAGCCAAAAACAAAACGAGGGAGGGGCATTAAGCTGCAACTTTTGAGCACAGAGCCCCAATACCAGAGGCTGTACTCTATCCTTGGCTATAGCTCATCCAAAAGAGAGATGCCATCAATGAGAGGATAACTAAGAGCTGTAGAAAGGGAAGACCCTTGACCTTCTAATTGGCAAGAATGGGAAAGTTGGATGATACTCTCTGATTACCCAGTGCTGTGAAAAAGACAGCAATCTTTCCAGAGCACCCAACACAGAGCCCACTGCTGACTCTGTCACAAAATGATTAACAGCTTTCCCTGATCATGGGGATTCACAATTCTCCAGAGCTCCCAACTCTGCTAGACCCACCACACAGTGCATCGTGTTACCTCATTAAAGTGAAAGATTATGTGCTTCTAAAGAAGGATACTATAGGCAGGGGGTACAAATTGGGGTTAGCTCTACCAATCCAATGCCCTCCACAGACAGGTTCAGGTCCCATGAGACCCCCATGTCCCTTAGCAAAGTCCCACCCTCGTAGAAGGCCCCCATCTTCCTCCATTTCAAATATTCAGACAGCTTGGTTACATGATAGTCATTTGAATGGAATATCTTCTACTCAGACAACTCTTTAAATTTTGGACTCTAAAATGCAAACTACTCTGTGCATTTTACTCTGAGAAGGTGAGAGTGGGTGTGGAAATGATTTGTTGGTGAGGGACACTTAGCATATAGCAGAGTGGAAGCATCACAGGTAAGGCTGATCTAAAAGCTGTTCAGGGGCTTCTCAGGTGTCATCCAACTTAGAGACTCCTACAACTCCTGAACTAATAACCCTCTTAAGGTGATACTACAGCAGTGGCCCTGAAGAGAAAGACAACCAACACTAGAAGCGTAGATGAATATCCAGCTGCTACTCTTTAAATCATCTTAAAGATCTGTCTAAGAAGGACACTGGCCAAAGTTGTTTCCTTTTCCAAATTCTCAGAGAGAGCCAGGAATGCTAGGATGGAAATGGAAGAGAAAACATTGGAGTTTGAGATTCTGAGGGTATGGGCTTAAGATGCCCAGGTTCTCTGACAGGGCACCAACGGGAAGGCTGAAGTCAAGACCATGGAGCAGGTATCTATTTAGGCAAGTTGATTTTGCCTAGTTCCATGGTCTCCGCCACATCTAGACACAACTAGCCAACTTATTTGTTAATTAATTGAACAAATATCTATTAAGCACCTACTAACAAGCTCTGGTGGCACTGTGGTTAATGCATTGGGCATCTAACCAAAAGGTCAGTGGCTCGAACCCACCAGCTGCTCCATGGGTGCACCTAGTAGGTCAACCACTGCACTAGACAAAAAAAGGTACAGTGCTGCACAAGACACACACATGTCCTTCTAGTCTAGCCAAAGAGGCATAAATTAGTAAATTATACACATATCTATCTACTTACAACTGTGTGATAAGTGCCACGAAGGAAAAGTATAATTGGCAATTAAAACCAGCAACAAGAAAACATAATCTAGTCTGAGATGTCAAGGAGATCTTTTCTGAGAAAGATCTTTAAGCTGATACTTCTGAATGAGAAGGAGTTAGCTGGGTGGGAGAGGATTCCAACTGAGGTAAACAGCACACGTGGAGACTCTGAGCAGTTAAGGCATTTGGCAAAAAAAAAAAAAAAAGGCTTGGTGAGCAAAAAGAAAGGAGCAAGAGGTACCTGAGGGGTAGATGGAGCCAGATTAAGGCTCTCATGGCCTTTATTTAAGGATTTGGGGCTTTAAAGTCACCAAAGGGTTTTAAGCAAGGCAGTAAACAAATCACATTATGTTTTTAAAGGAGCATTCTACCACAAAAGGGGCCTTCAGGGTGATGGGGCAGTTCTGTATCTTGATTGAGTGCAGTGGTGGTTACACTTGTTGATAAGATAACATAGCACTATACACAAATATGCATATACTCAAGTGTGTGCATATAAAACAGGTAAAATCTAAATTAAGATCTGTGGATTGCATCAATGTCAATTGCCTGGTTTTGACAATATACTATAGGTATGTGTGATGTTACCATTGGCTGAGTAAAGGATGGAAATCTCTTTATATTTTGCAATTTCCTATGAATCTTCAGTTATTTCCAAATGAAAAGTAAGAAAAAAGTTAAATAAGAAAAATACATAAATAAAATTTTTAAATCATCCAAAAAGCTATTATCTAGGGAATTTGTTGGAGGGAGGAGGAGGACAGGGACAGGAAAATGAAGAGATGTAAGACAGGAAACTAGTTAAGAGGCTGACGCAGCTACCAGGAAAGAGACAGGGATGATTAGATTTAGTTGGAGATTTGAAAAACATTAAAGATATAATTGACAGCACTTGACAATTTTTTGGATGCTGGGAGTATGAGAGAGAGCAGATGAGAAATAGTCCCAAGTTTTGACCAGAAAAACTTGCAGTGAAACTTACTTAGGTGAGGAAGATTGTAGACAGGGAATGGAGACTGTGGTAGTTAAGGGTATGTGTCAACTTGGCTAGGCCTGTTTTTGAGTGACTGGGCAGCTGGATGTAGTTATTCCCCATGATGAGACTGGTAATCAACTCCATGGTGGAATCTACTGGAGCAGCTGAGTAGGTGCCTTAGGGCTGTGGTCTGCCTCCAGTATATAAGTTTTGAGAAAAGTCTCTGTAGCTTTTTGGCATGCTTGCACCCTGCATATAGCCAAGTCTTCATTCAGCAGGCTACCATGTTTTCTGATCATCTTGGGGCTGTCTCTGGACTTGAATTGGTGGCTTGTCATGTTGTTTGGTAAGATTGGGACTGTGCCATTTTACTTGTCATCCTTGGCCTTGTTAGCCTCAGCAGCCATCAGCTGCCTGAGTGAAGAGACACCTCCAGCTCCAGTGGCCTGGGAGCAGGAGGCAAAGCTGAACCCCAAGGTCAAGGGGCCTTCACCCAGCCCCTGGAGGTTGGCAATTTGAACTCAGACTTCAGGCCTCCAAAACTGTAAGAGAATAAACTCCTGTTTGTTAAAGCCATCCACTTGTGGTATCTTCTGTTAGAGCAGCACTAGAGAACCAAAACAGGGATCAAATGAAGGTCTGAGAGGATACAATCCATTTTAAGCATGTTTAATTTGGGGGAGACCATGAGACTTGCTGGTAGAGATGTCAAGTGAGCAGTCGAATAGAACTCAAAAGAGAAGTATGGGCTAGCAATAATACATTTAAGAGTTTCTGTTAAATAGATGATATTTGAAAGCATGAGAATGAATGAAACTAGGAATAAGGAAGAGGAGAAAAGAATGGGAGAGGACAAGGCAAGAGAAGGAAAGAGGAGGGAAGGGAAGGAAAGGAGAAAAGTTTTGAGGAACTCAGCCACTTAAACATCAAAGGAAAGAACCAGCAAAGGAAACTGAGAAGAATGGCTGGAGAGGTAAGGAGAAAATGGACAAGTATGGTGTCATGGCAGCCAAAGAAGAGATTTCAGGAAGGAGAGAGTGATTAGCTGTATTGACTGTCACAAGTTCTTGAGTTTGTCATTGCTCAGTAAAGACCCTGAGTGAGGGAAGTGTTGACAGATCAGAGCAAAACTGCCCTACTGATAACAATACTCTTCAGTACTGTTGTTTTCCTAGGAAGGAAGATCAGTACATTCCAGAGCATGACATGGAACTCAGCAGCCAACTGGGCATCTGAGCTGCCTCCAGGTGGGACTAAGGAGGTTATTCCAGGCATCTAGAATACTCCACAAATATTTGGAGTATTTTCAAGTTCTCTTAGACCATTATGCTAAGCTTTGAAGACAGTTATCCTCTGGGATAGCTTTGGACCAGTGAGTGGTAGCAAGCAGGCTTTGCCAACTCCTGTTTAAAATCTGAAAACACTGCATGGGTTTTCTCTGTGTTCTCATCTGAAAGCCATCAGCCCCACAAAACACCGTCAAGCCAGAAAAAAGAGAACTAAGCTCTCACAGCCTCCAGCCCTTTGTTAAGATGTAGAACTAAGAAGAACCTCAACTCTGGCTCCTTCTCAGAAGTCAAGACATCATTCAAGTGCAAGAGGAAAGTAGGGAATGAAAACATTATTACAACTTTGCAGCCAGAGAGTGCGAGGCACAAAAAGTTACATAAGCCACCCAGACAGTCATCAGCAGGTGCAAAATTTATGCCCAGAATGAAACCCTCCTCTCTGTACCACCATAACAGATGGGCTGTCTGATGCCTATCTCCAAGGATGGGAAAAAAAATCATTGGGCCAGATCAAACTGCCAGAATAAGACTTCTTATCTGCCACAAAAATGACTTTAAAAATGCACAC